CTCTGCATCTTTTCGTGGTTCGCTTTGCCAGCCCGGAGGTATAAACCAGATGTCTGTGATGTGGGTGGGTTCCCACGCCCGCAGTGATGTACCTGGAGAAGGTGGTCGCTGCGAGACACGTGGCTGATCTCCAGCTTGCAGGTCAGCCTCATCCCCGCCATCGCCAGGCCTCTGCCGGGCAGCCCGTGCAGGACGACGCCCTCGTAGCCATACAGGTAGACCTTGCCGCTATGAAAAACGGGCTCTACTGAAAAAAAAGAAAAAAAAAAAAAAACAAAAGCAGAAACACCTCCTTTGCTATGGCTGTTGTGGTGTTACTCGCAAGAACCATCCCAGCAAAGAAGGGCGAGGCCGCTACTGCCAAAAAACAGGTGGGCAAGGCACGGCCGTAGGGGAGGGCAGCGTGGGAGCGCACTTACCGAGGTCTTTCTTCTGGGCCCCTGTGTGGGAGGAGAGAGAAGGCTGTGTGAGTAACCCCCATCTCTGCCGATCCTTTCATTTATTATTCATTTACTCAGCGTGCTAATGGTTGGCAAACAACCAGTAATGGGCTCCCAGGGTGCACCCCACACCCCTGGGGACACCAAGCCCATGCCAGCCCCACTCACTAGCTGCTGCTTGCTCAGCTTTTCCCCTGCTGCTAAGCTTAGGCTTAGCAGAAATCTAAGAGTTTACAGCCAAAGTCATAGAAGGGCTTCAGCAGATTAAGCTGTAAATATCCCTGAAAGGCCCCGAGGAGATGCAGTTTGCCCAGGACCGCAGTGGCCATCATGGCTCAGCAGTGCTGGTAAAGCTTCAACTTACCCACGAGGGCGAGCAGCAGGGCCAGGATGAGTCCCTTCATGCTAAAAGCGACTGAAGACTGCAGGGGAAAACGTGCGGCTTTTATAGAAGAATTATTAACAGGCACGGTGAATTTTGTTGAGTTATCAACTTTTTATCAACCACTCAAAGCCTTTGAGGGAGAGGGGGTCGGGGACGAGGCGCCGGCTGTTACTGCTGAGCCAAAACCCATCACAAGCACTTTTGTTCTCACGTCACCAACTGCAGGCGCTGAAGGTACCTTTAGAAACAAGTGCTTAAAAGAATTAAAATATAGTTCAAGCCAAAATGTTTATTGTGTAAGAAAAATTATAAATTATCCTTATTCACTGGAAGCACCCGGTGTGGTTGCAGCCCGTGCTGACTTTGCCTGGGTTATCCTGACCTGACTGCGAGGCACACGGCTTATCTAACTGATAGCGCCCCAGCAGGATTGTGCAAAATCCCCTGGCACCCTCCTGCGACACCCACCCTGCTGCGAGCGGGACAGGCCGTCACCCACAGCGCTGCTCTCCGGGGCTGGGGACTTCACCCAGTGACACAACCCTCCCGTCGTTGTCACCAAGGCCACGGCTAAGCGCCGCTGGCGTTCGGGCTTCCCTCACGTGCCTTCTCCTGCAGGGCTCACACGGCAGCCCCCTTCACCGGCACGGTGAGCCGCGGCAGGGGGTTGGATGGGTTGACCCTGTGAGGCGGAACGAGGCTGACAGGCGTGAGGGACGCCAACCTCTGGGTTTACAAAGGCGTACAAAGCGTGGGTCACCCAAACTCACGTCACGTCGCGTAACGAGGGTCGGCACCATCACCCCACGGGGGCGCCCCCTTCTCCCGTCGGCTTTGGAGGCAGCCCCGCGGGTCACAGAATCACAGAACGTCAGGGGTTGGAAGGGACCTTGAAAGTCCATCTCATCCAACCCCACCCTGCCAGAGCAGGACCACTTAGAGCAGGTCCCTCTGGCTGCTCTTGGCTCCAGGATTTGGCCTGATCTTTGGGACCCCTGGTCAGCTGGTCCCTGGGTCCCCTGATCCCTGGGTCCACCACCGCCAGGCCATGGAGCCTGCACAGGTTACGGCGGCCCCAGGCCTGAAAGGTTCATGTGGGTGCTGTGCAGCCCATCAACCTTCTTCTCTGCCGGTGGGGAACCAAAGCTCGCTGTGGGAAGGGACTGGATTCAGTTTCTCATCGACAGATCAGTGGCTCCTAGCCAAGACAGCTTAGTTTTCATAATGCTCTTCAGCTGTTGGGGTTTTTTTTGTTTATAATTGGCAGTTGGGATATAATTTATAGTGTCTGACAAACTGTGGATTTTGTTCCTAGATCCAAGATTGTATCTGTAGAGTAAAAAAAAAATTAAAAAAAATATATATAATTTTGAAGCAGGCCAAATACTTCACCCTGTTTTTACCAGCACTGTATTCTGGTCCTGTTTGTTTTAACCCCTTCACTTGTAAAACTGATAGCACTTGACAGAAAAGCCGAGCCCTTCACTAGGGAGTTGTGTCATGTCTTTGGGGATTCGGTAAATGCAGCTGAAGGATTTGAGTGCTCAGCTACTGGTGCTGGAGGCTCAAAAGCTCATAGGGCATCACTACGTGCAGCTGCAGGCAGCGAGGACTCGAGGTCGGTGGCAGTGCAAGCAGAAGAGCGCTGCTGTGGTGGCAGATTAAAGGCAACAACGCTTGCATTCGGTGTCTCAAAATTACAACACGGTATCGCTAAAACACCACGAACTGTAACACGCCTCAAAATAAGGGTCTTTACGGGCTGTGCCTGGCTGCAAGGGCAGGTTCTCCTCAAAACCCCCAGCCTGGGGCTTGCAGACTCTCACCCCCATCCTACCCCACCCGCTGCTTTGGGTGATAAACGCCACATCCCCGCTCACCCCGGCCGTGCTGCTGCCGCGGGGCAAGATCATCCACGCTTCTGCTCCAGGCGTGGGGAAAACCTGCTGGTGAGAGCTTCTTTAGAGAACTGAACCCTCTTGTTTTCTAGATCATTTCTGCAGTACGTCAAGAACGATTTCCACTCCCAGCCTGTCCCCCCCTTGTACTCTCACAGCCCTTTCACGCTTCATATTTCTCCGAAGGATATAACCTGAATTAAAAAGGCAAAAAAAACACCCCTAAGAAAATGGTGAGGGTGATGAACAACTTTGCTGGGCCCAGGACCTGCCCAGGACAGCATTTCCTCCGAGCTGTGCTCGGCTCTCTCCGCAATGGCATGGGGGGGAGGGGCAG